GAAAAGGAAATAATCAAGCTAATAAGATACAATAGATGTATATTTCTTTAAATACAAGTCATCGTGTTTCATCAATATGACCTCTGTCTGTCTAGTTGATCGTCTGGGACAAAGAAAAATGTCTAAAACAAAGTGGAAATAAATCTTTGTTGCATTAGTTGACGAAACCGACACTCAATAAAAGAAAAATGTAAATGAACTGTATTCTCTCTTGATCTTCATAATAAAGAATTCATGTGGAAAAATATTACTCATCATCATTAACATTTAGTAATAGTTATTTTGTTCATAGAAAAGTTTGCTTCTTTTGTTTTTTTTTTGGAAGAGATTTTTATAAATTAAATAAATATCGATGATCTTATGGTTTCTAATCAATATATTATCGTCATATAATATATTTGTTATTTTGATTAACAGTAATTCGATTAAACTATTTCATTATGAAAATCTCAGCTTACCTCGAAGTTTCTGTCACATTCATCAACCCGTATATAAATATAAAATGACATACCGTAATTTTTCTTAGTGTGTCGTGTGTATGTTTACAGTTGACCCGTAATTGAATTGGCTCTTTTGCATCGTTTTCGTCAGGTACATATATGTATTCATTTTTTTTTCTTTATATCCTTTTCTGTTCATATCCTAATGGTTGTGCTTGATAGGTCTATTTAATTTTATTTCTACTGGTGCCTCCTCCTTTTCATCTGCTCTAAGCTAGTAATACGATGATCATTTGCACGGTTATTTAATCGAGCGCGCAGCTTGATTATATGTGTAGTTATGTGCATATATATATATACATCCATATGCTAAAGAAACGAACGACAAAGACAAATATTACAATGCAAGCGGCGCGACTACTGTTCATGATTTTTCAAGTCTTTCATTCTCTGCTTGTTGACAAAAATAGACAGGGATGACCTCTCACTTGTTCTCTTGCCAGTATTACAGCATTTATTTGTTATGATCATGATACTTGAACTGAATTTAATTTAAGCAATCTATATCTATACATATATATATATATCTATATACTTACAACAATTGTAATTTAATTAATTTTTTGTCGTATACAAGTGGTGTACTATTTCTTTTAAATAGAGCAAAAGAGAAAAATAATTTTCATCATAGTGACATCATGTATATTGTAATGAACATCGACAGGAAAAAATTATTCTAATGACAGAAACTAATATTACTTTTCTAACCATCATCTTTCTCTCTTCTTCTTGTTCTTCTCTTGTTCTCTATATCTCTCTTTGCATCTATACATTGATCCATCTATCTTGATCTGTGTTGATTTTGTGTGTGCGTGTTTATATGTATAAGATGAGATTCAATTGAACAGACGACAAGGAGAAAAAATATCGATTCTAGTGAATAGATAGATGAATGGATACAGAAAGAATTAAAGATTGCTTAATCAATCGGATGCGGCACGCGTAGAATGAATAACTAATTTTGATAGCAAATGCTACTACTATTATGACTTACATTAGAATCATGCTTTAAGCAAAGGTATTGCGTAATAAGTATTGTGACTATGTAGTTACAAGTGTTCGAATAGTGTTCATCTTTTCTTGAGTATACATGCTGTCAAATGTCCAGTCACACCTCATTCTCTTTATATGTGTTAGTACGTGGGAGGAGTAAGCAATATATAGATTGTTTGTTCAAAGAGTTTTTGCACATTGTCGATAAGTACAACATTTGTGTTTTTGTTATTCTTCCACTCATTAGTATTACTCCAATGTTCTATATGAAGTATTTACTGACTAAGTCGATATCTTACTGTGAGTGATTGCAGCAAGAAAACAACTTGAACAGTAAGATTTTCAAGACATATGTTTGTAGACAATAACTATAAAGTCATATTATAACTATATGCATAGAAAACAGATTCGAATGAATTTTCTTGATAAAAGTTATTAGCCGACAAAAGAATATGATCGGACTGTTATTCTTACTATTAAATCGATTGATCCGGAACAAGCTTCTTTTCTTCTTCTGACAATTGCTAATCTCGATGTTTTATGATGTCTCAGGCTAGTTGATTCCCATTGAATCTATAATAAGTACAATTGAGATAAATGTTTGATGAAAAAGAAAGTATGTCTCTTGATGAAAATTTACTATCATGTCTTTGCCTCAGCAATCTATTGATCGATGGTTTAACTATTGGTTCGAGGTTAGTGATGACAACTGATCGCCGCACATAAAAAGAAAAAAATCTTATGAAAAATTATTCTTGAAATTAAACATCAAAAGAAATAGAATAGAAGTGAATATCCTTTTCCGATAGAACACTTAATCATATAAGATACATTTGACTCGACAAATATTTCTAGATGAATGTTCATTAGAAGAATTCGAAATGTAAGAGATCAATAAATTTATCTCTGGAAAAAAATTCAATCAATGTCTAGATTTCAATTATTGATCATAAGATGTTCAGTTACTTTGTTGAACTCTATCGTGACTTACACATCATGTATTCAAACTGATATTGATTTATCGATGACATCGTTCACCTATATAATGTCTTTTACGCATATTATTCAAACAAAGTTCAATGTAAAAATTATTAATGATTGATGACACAGTTCAATGTTCACATTATCATTGACATATGAATTGAATTTTGAGAGTTGATTGTTAATTTATATATATATATAAAATGCTGTATCTAATATTAAAACTTCTCAATAGAATAAAATGTTTTCATATAACAATGTTTCAATCAATGTCTTATCATGGTAAATGAAATTATTATAAGCTTTAGTTCTTCGATGATCATTTTTGGACATCGGAACAAAGAGCTGATATTATAAAAATGTAATTTTTTTTTGGATATATATTTTAATTAAATAGTTTATTATTTTCTCATTCAAAAAAATAGCCATAATCACATGAGATTATTGAAAGAAAAATGTAAGATCAACGAGCGTTATGAAGCGTGAAACAAAAACTGACACGACACTTCAATGTTTATAAAATCACATTATTCGCACAAATAAATTTAGTTGAGCATTAAAGTAGAGATAATTGATGACACACTCACAATGTGAAAGAGAAATGTATTTTTTTTTAGTTCATAGAGTCCTTGTAATAATGAAAGAGTTAATAGTGAAAGAATTCAAGAAGAACTGGTCGAAAATTTAAAGCAATGTGGTATTGCTTAACTATTTATTCTTGTTTTAATGAAATTTCGCGATAATTAGCTTCTGACCTAGACTGATAATGCAAAATACATTAACAATATAGATTAACGATTTATCAATGTCATGAATGTATGACAAAGAAAAAATTAATCAACTCTTACAGTTCGAAATTATATCAAATAGAAAATATTTTAGTCAACCTTAATATACAAAGTTGGAAGTCGAAAATCAAAAGAGTTTTTGTGTTATAAAAAAATTCATGTTATCTATGAAACAGTCATATTCAATAGCACTCTTTTTTGTCTATTATCCAAGAAATGAAATAGATTCACTCCCGTGTTTATACAAAGAAATACTTACGAAAAGAAAATATACAAGATTTCTGTTTCTTTTGCAAACAACTACGTATATTTTGAATTATATAAATGTTCGGCTCGTGTTAGAATTTTTTGAAACATATGGTCAATATTATAAGTGCCTTTTCATATTGAATTATTTGATTAATGGCTGTTCATCTATAGAAAAAAACAAAAGCATATGTACAGCATTTAGTTATATTCTTTATTTAGCATGAATAATTCAGCAACATATTCATCTTGTTCATTAACATTTCATTCAAACAATAATCGTTCTATTGAATATGTAATTATGATTTCTGATGCTACAAATCAATAAGTAAAATACATCTTTCATCAACATTCCATACTATTCTCTCTCTCAATTGATAACTCAATCTATCATCAAATCAAGTAAAAATGTAAGTATCAGTATCGATATGAAATCTTGTCAAAACATATCATAACAAAATGGTACATAGACTCGACCTTAGTCTTTCGTCGAATGTGATTGACCAGCCAAATTATAATTGATAATCCAATGTCGGCTTGTCTTCATTTGCCAAAGCATAAGTTATCGATTTTACAATTCATGTGTTACACAAAAAACAAAATGAATGATATCAATTTTCAATCACATTTAACTCGAATGATGTCTAAAATTATGTACCAAATGAATTGTTGGTAATATTTAAATTATAGCAGAGACCATCTTTTGTTACGAATTGTTTACCGTTGTTTTGTACATTCATTTTACATATATTGAATAGTTTGAACGGCGTCTTTTTTTTAAACTTAACGTAGTTGTTAATTATTAAAACTACAATAATCAAAGTCCAATGTGATCAATTTTGATAGTCATAGTTTTTTGAATGGGGAGTAAAAAGGACCTTGAACACAACTTGTGACTCTCTTATAAAAGTGTGAAATTTCTTTTTTTATGACGCCGATAAATTGATAGCATATGTTAAATTTTTCTCCGGGAGATGAGTTCGAGAAATTATACAATCAGTTTTTGACATCAATTTTCCATTGTCATGCATCACTGCATTAGACAGCCATTAAGCAACAAATTCAAATGTTTACGTAAACAAAATTGCAGGTAAACATTGCCAACTTCGAAACGAAGGAGGTAAGAGAAGACAAGATAAAATCATCCTATGCTTTCTACATATAACGAGATATTATTATTAATAGTGCTGTCACAATATATCAGGAGTTTTTTAGTTTCGAATTTTTTCTTGCTAATTTGATAATATCTTAACTTCGTGATGTTTATTTTTTCTCAGTGAGATTATATTCGTAATTTTCTAAAGGAATTTCTTGTACAAGAAAGAAATTTTCGATGAATTCATTCGTTTAGATCTGTGACATATCAGAAGTTATTCTCTTGTATATAAATGGAAGGTAATAATTTAAATTGACAAGTGCAAAAAACATGAAGTGAGACAAGATTTGCTATATTTAGATTTTAATATCACATCAACAAATAAAACTAGAAACAATGACAGGTCATCTACTGGTTCAATTATTCTCGTTCTATCGGTTGCTATTTTAGTTTCATGTGTATGCAAAATAATTTTTATTAAGTTCCTTCGTCATAGAGTCAATCTTTCTTTTTATATCATTGTTTTATTTCTTGGTTTTCTTATTGGTATAATTGCTACTCAAATACAAGGTGGTTTTAGTGAAGATCATTTTCTTCGAGGTGAATTTTATTTAAGTAAAATAAGCCCTCATTTAATATATTATATTTTTTTACCATTAATTATCTTTGATTCATCATTCAATACTCATGTTCATATTGTTAAACAACAAATTATCACAACTATTTTAGTAGCAGGTCCAGGCGTTCTTATTTCAACTGGAATTATTACATTATGTGTTGTTTATTTATTTCCATATGATTATCAATGGTCATGGCTTATAGGTCTCTTATTTGGTAGTATATTAAGTACAACAGATCCCGTAACAATCGTTACACTATTACAAGATTGTGGGGCTAGTCAATCATTATCATCATTAATTGAGTCTGAATCATTGCTAACTGATGGATTAGTATTTATGCTTTTTTCAGTTTTTAATCGTATTATTGTTGGTAGTTCGCATACCATTGGAGAAATCATTTTTGACATCGTTAGATATGGTCTCGGTAAGACATAAATAGAGATTTCAAGAAATCGGTGTACTGTAGAAAGGCCAAAAGAAAAAATATCGAAAATTTTAACTACCAAGATATTGTTTATTTTTGGTATAATACTAACATTGTAACAAAGATCATACACACAAGTCCAGAGAGAAAAAAATGAAAGAAATAGTATTGTCATTTTTTTCGTTCAGCAACTCTAAATGACAAACTCATCTAAATATTCCGTTACATTTATAAAACCATGATAATATCGTTCACGAAAGTTATCTATACGATATTGAACAGCAATTGTTTTGCTCTTGCATCAATAATAAACTATAGAGGATTAGACTCAACATTTACTGGAGATATAATTTTTTTCAATATTTTCCTTTTAGTTTTTCTACAGTCAATAGAATCCGTTGAATCCAAAATTTTTCAAGCCATACTCGGACCCGATAGAGCCGTACTTTGACATTCTCAGTGGAATTTTCTAAGAGAAATTGGATAGCTTCCCATCGCTCCCCCCCCCCCTCCTCCAGAAGATACGATATATATGTTTTTCGATATTTATATCCGAAGACTAGCACACCCTACACATTTCTCAGACTAGTGGAGTCCATTGGATCCAAAACTATCAGACCTGAACTCGACGAGTTCTAACGTCAAACCAAGAAATCTATTTTGTTAATAGAATGTTTATTCAAAAATTAACGATATGTAATTATTTTCTGGTAGAATAGTTCTCGTAGATTAAAGAGCTATTGAAGATCTAAGGGTTTTTATAAATGAAATAAGTAGGTACTTCAATTTCTTGTTTTCTTTTTACAGGTGGTCCTTTATTTGGATTAATCTGTGGTTCTATTTGTGTATTCGTATTAAATCGAATTAATAATGAACTAAAAATTGAAATTACAATAACATTTGGTATGACATATCTTGTTTTTTATATAGCAGATGCGGAACTTGGTATATCAGCTGTTCTTTCTATTATATCCATGGGTTTATACATGGCTAAGCATAAATACTGCATAAGTAGTAATGTTCAGTTATCAATGGCTGGCGCATGGGAAATAATCATATTTGTCGTAAACATTCTAACATTTACTGTTAGTGGTCTTATTTTAGCACATTCATTTGTTGGTAGACAAACGAATTTGACTAGTAGAGACATTGGTATAGCTTTAGTACTTTATCTATTAATACATGTAAGCAGAGTATTAATTGTGGGTGTATTATATCCAGTAATAACATGGAGTGGAATGCCTTTAAATCGAAAAGAATGTGTAATATTTGCATGGAGTGGTTTACGCGGTCGAACTGCTTTAATTCTTGTTCTTTTAGTCTATTTAGATCCAGAAATTAATTGTGCAACTCGTGAACGTTTTCTTTTTCACATTTCATTGATTGTAATATTTACATTGATTATTAATGGAACTAGTAGTAAGTTTTTAGTGAAGATGCTTGGCCTTCATAAAGGTACTGTATGATAAAAACAAACAAAAAAAAACAGAGTATGTTCAACATATAATTATCTAAATAAGGTTTTTCGGGAATTTTAATGTTCATTATTTAATAATAGATTATTTATGTGTAGGGACACCAGAGAGTCAATCTGTACTATTGCAAGCGCTAAAACATATGCGAAATCAAACATCAAGGCAAATTAATAAAATGAAAGAAGATATTAATTTTGCCAATGTGGATTGGAAAATATTAAATAACTATTTACCAGAGAAATTACTTGAAGAATTAGATGAAGAACATGATACAAATATTCATCAAAAATTATGTGCGATTTCGAGACAAACACATGATGATTTTGCATCAGAATCTATCTCGACATATTCCGATCAGTTGCAAGATCAACATTTTTCTGATCAAATATCTACTAATAGCATACATCAACTTGATTTAGAATCATTGTCCAATGATCAACATATATTTGAACCATTTATTCAACCAATAAATAGTTATGATTTAAATTTTGAATGTCATCGAACGAATATGAGAAATGAAATGATCAAAAGATTTCTAACAGCTATGTCAGTTGATTATGAAAAACAATGGTATTTAGGCATGATTCGAAGACGAACACTTAAAATACTTATTGAAACTGTTGAAGAAGCTAAAGCAAAACTATCACTAAAACGACATTGGGAACTTCTTACGAAACGTTTTTGTATGCCTTTATGGTTACAATGTTTTATCAAATTTGATAAACTTAAATGTTTAAATCGTGTAACAAAAAAATTATTATTCAATCATTTAATACTCACCATTGAGTTAACCTTGGGTATGCTTGTTTTTTGTTTCTACAGATAGATATAATTCATCCACACATAAAAGAATTATAAAAAAAACTCATATCGTAACAAAGCCTAGGAAAATTCAAAATTGAACATAAAATATTCTTTACTGTTTAATTGCAAACAAAGACTAGGATGAAAAGTCTGGCCTAGGAGAGACAAATCTATCGCGTCGCTGTCACCATGGTTTTTGATAAATTTTTCGAAAACCTCTTGGGTCACTGCGTTAAAATAGCACTGTTAGACTGAGACCATCAAAATGACTACAATTCTGACTGTTGGATTTGTAGACACTCACATCGAGTTCAAATTCATGCAATTTTACCATCTCTCTAAAAAAGAAGCTGTTGCTGCCGCGATAGTATATTTGAAACATCTCCCGCACCACTGACAGCGTCGTAGCAGTGGTAGCTTCACCGCGGACATTTCTGGTTACCAGGTAACGCGTAGCGAGAAAATCTGTAGATTTGATTCTTTCCTTAGAAAATAGCTCTCGGAGAAAACTCACGATTTTTCACAAAGTTTGATCAAAACTTTCCGGGGTCGAGAACGCTTGACTTAGAGATCAAGTATACAATTTGAGAAATTAATTTCAAATTCGGAATTGTTGACACTGAAAAGCTTAAATCAAACTCTATGAGACATCGTGATTTTTCTCGAACAGTCATTCCTAGACGAAAGAATCAAATCTATGAATTTTTCGTTACCGTCACGTAGTAATGTTCAGGACGTTCATTACAGTCACCGAGGTGGCCAAAAACAATGTTGTATATTGTCATTTCATACTGTTTATACTCGTAAATTAGCGTTTTAGTAGGTGCAGTGTTACAGAAATATTTTTTCATGCCGTACACAGTCGATAACGATAGTCAAACAGCCTGAAAACCGAGTATCCGGTCGTTTAGGATAGCTTGAAAATACGATCATAATATTGTGCCTACCAAATATCGGAAAAACCATTTAAAATGGCCATTTACCACTGAGTTTATTTGATCTGGGCGAGTAACTTCCCTTCCCTAGAAATGACATTTTCTTTTCTCTTTTTGATATGAAACAATTACAATGAAGATTATTCTATTGTAGCATTTCATTCTGCTAAATCACGTTTGGAAAACATCCTCACGAAATTTCCTGAATTTGCAAATATTGATAATGATGTTATCAATAATGTTCTTAACGAAGCAAAAATGTTAGAAGTACGTGCAACACTCGTATTACATGATTTACAACATTCGTATAAAAAATGTTGGACAATTGAAATGACAAAACGATGTGCTCAAATGTTATTAAAATATGAATCAGTAGCTATTGTTCAATTATATGAAACGGGCATGCTTAATGAAAAGGAATATGCACATATTCTTAAACTTATTCAAAAGAAACTTTTTCATTTAGAATATGGCTATTTTATGGGTATTCCGAAAATACATTTGAATCGAGAACAAGACAATCCATTCAATAATCTTTCACTATTTGTTGATTTAACTGAAGATGAAAGAGCTCATTTTAAAGAGTTATTAGAAGCACGACATAGATGGTTTCAACCTGGTGAAGTTCTCTTACGACAAGGTCATATTACATCAGAAGCTTATTTAATTATACGCGGAATTGTCGAATGTTCTGAAGATCTTTTGACATGTTACAGAGCAGGTCATATTATTGGTATTGATACATTATTTGATAAAAGTTCATCAACATCCAATCGAACTTATCGAGCTGAGAGTAGTATTGTTGAAGCTTATTCAATCGATGAGTCAATACTTAATATGTTTTTATCAAATGTAAAAATGACTCGATTAATTTATAATGAAATAGCACTACATATGCTTATCAACATGTATCAACAACCAATACATTTATTAAATTATGCACAAATAAAAGTACTCTTAGATGAACATGCTAAATTTTATAAAAATGAAATCGATCATGATATAATGACTATTCAACTCAAACGAAACGAACGACTTTTTCTTCTAATAGGTTCAGTACAAAGAGAAGATGATGATTACTTTTTGGATGGTCCTCAATTGGTAACTGTCAATCAATCTACATGTTTCTATTGTAGTTTAGATAAGTTATGTATTGCCTATACATGGACAATGAAGAACGAACAAGATTGTTTACAAATAGTACGATCATTTACGACTAGTTTTCGATTGTTTAATTCCAGTCAAGTCAAAGCAAATACAACAATGGTTTATCCATCGTATTCAGGTTATACAACAGAATTTACTCCACAATATCATTCTTTAATACAAGTTGCACGATCGACTGCTCATACGAGCAATATTGAATTGATTCCTATGGAAATAACGGATCTTTATCATGAACAAGTGTAATTTTTTTTTTAAATTATGAACTATGAAATATTTATTCATGCTATTATCAGTCTCTCAGAAACATGTTTTTCTTCAGTTTATATGAAAACATCATTTTAATAAATTTTATGATCATTATCCGGTTCTGTCTGGGAAATTTGTATGTGCTGAGCAAAGATGCGATCGATTCACGTTTTTTGGAATCGGACCGATTTCGGTTCGCAGCCGAATGAGTCCCATCTTTGGTGTTTATATATTTTTCAGAAGAAAATCAATGTCGTCTACATTTCTTGAGATATTATTTGAATACATTTAAATTAGTTTTTGATAGACATGTGATAAACATCTATTGCTAAATGGATACAAACCTAGTAAGTTAATCAAAAAAAGTGAAGCAATTTCAATCATGCTATCTAATATTATATTGAGCATACATCATTAAATGTTA